GGCGTCAATATGCAATTCTAAATCCTCCGCTATACCAGCATCTAAAAGAATATCTTCTAGAGAAGTTTTTAATTCTTCTGCAGTCCCTCCGAACCAGACCCTTAGATCCGGGCGCAGCACATAGTCAGGAAGCTTATACTAAAAGCAAATCATTTATGCGATGTTTAAGCAAGATTTCTGAATCTACTTTGAAAATATCAGTAATATCACTCCCTACAAAGGTAAAGCGCCTGTCCTGTCGCCTTTTTCTTGCAATCTCCTCCTCCGTCGTAGATCTCAGATACACGTCGACAACACAGAAGTCAGGTTGAAAGTTCAATTTACTCACCTCAAAAGTAAGACATTCGCACAAATTTATAAGAGTAACAGGCATGTTGCTTTTAGCCCTACAATACTGCTTTCAAACAACCGGTAAACCTGAATTGCATTGATTACAATAGAATTATATACAGTTAACAGTTGGAAAAACTAATACCGTATCTTTCAATAAAAATCTTGAAACGAATTCTTCCCAGTCTATCGGTTCTTCGATAGCGTTCATTGTAGCTTGAAACCTCCTTTTACGAAAGTACCATAAGCCGTAGTACAAAAAGAACCCACAGGCAACAAGAACAAATATAAAACGGCTCATCACTTTCGCATCTCCTAAATAATTACAAGGTTAGACTTATGTCTGCCTTTCATTTCTTCTTGAAAAAAAAAAAAAGGAAATCCTCGAAAATTTCGATAATTATGAGCATTATTTACTTTGCAAAAGTTTTTCTTCCTCCTCCAGGGACAATACTTTTTTTTGACCTAAAGACCTGTAAAAAGTCTGTAAAGTTCCCTTATGTTTTTGGATTAATCCCATTCTGACCCTGTTGAACATGCTTTGGGGACGGATGAACATTGTTTTTACTGAGGGACGACATACATGACCCAGAAACATCCGATTTCTTACGCTCCGCCAAAACATTACCACTACGGCGGCGTCGATCGACAAACTGGTAGTGAATTTTCGGTATTAGGAAAACGCAAATCAATCTAAATAGATGCATAAATTTGTAACAAGAAAAGACAACTAAGCGCATCTGAGGAACTTTAAATATGAATACATTTATAGAAAACAAAAAAGGAAGTTGAAAACTTTAAAGAACTTTTGTTTTCACTTTTTATATTTTAAAAAACCATATTTTTTCTGAACTTCCACATTTATGTTCAGTCACAGCTTAGACAACAACTAAGCAAAACAGTAAAATTTTACATCCCTAAGAGATAAGCTACAATTTGAACATCCGCTACACAAATAAAGGTAACTGAAGTAATCAGAAAAAGTGTAGCAATTTTGGCAGCTATCAACGGATCCCGGTGCATTCAGCGAGTAAACTGTCGTTGCTAATTATTGGGCTGTTATTTGTGTGTATCGGTATCCGTCGTTTCCCGGCCGGTAATGTTTTTTTTTGATTGAAATGTTTTTTCAAATTTTGAAGAAATACGCAAGTAAGGTTCCGCTCTGTTATGGACACCAGTTTTTCGACGACATCAGGACCGATTGATCCAGTTAATTCTTGAAGGTTCGCGAAAACCACTGTGGTTTCATATTGAGCTGAATGGCCGCAGGACTGCTGCTGAAGGATACTGTTACGGCTTGTCTTATTGAGTGTATATGTACATTTAGACTTGGTTACCAGTAAGAAAACCTATTTTAGCAGAAACTCGTCTTTTCCATCTATCCTCTGCTGCTGAACTTTATCACTGCTCAGCATTCGCGCGTCTTGGTTACAGCAGCGGTGGCCGTTTCTGAATGGTCCGTTTAGATATTAAAAGTGGGAAGGGAAATTTTTGTTCAGCAGTTCATATTTGTATGCACTTCGCTATGCTACTTCTTGTTTCAGCCGACAGATAGCACATAGTTTGGTTTTATGGGGGTGAAAATTACTGTGTAAACATAAATTTTGTGGTGAGCATTGATTTTCTAGATTTAATGAGCTTTTTTTTTCTTTCAGATACAGAAGAATCACTTTGACGTACAATTATATATTTGTGTAATCATAGGAGCACTGCACGATTCCAGTATTTGCTGAAAGGATATAAAACTGAAACATGTTAAATGCTTTGATTTCACGCCAGTAGTGTTTAGTTTCGATATTTCTGGATTTTAAAGGCTTGGATAGGTAATGACGGAGTCGAATGCTAAATTGGTCGGAAATGGAGAAGGTATGTTAGTTTGTGAAGTACGCTGTTTTTTTTTTTT